ACTCGATTTTTCCTAGGACACTTTTGGAATTACTTGTGACGTCTCCTATCCTCTAGTTTTTAACTTCTACTCAATTCGTTATTGGAACATAGACTTGAAAGCTTGGCTTTGGAAACAATGGGGATTGAGTCTGTTCTTACTCCCTCCTATCTCAGTTTCTTTGCTAGACATTGATTATTTAACATGTAGGTGAATAATAATAGCAGATGAGAGAGAGTCGCTCTGTTGTTGCATTTTGGAATTTAAACAAAAGTCAGAAGCAACAGCCCTGGAAGGAGAAGACTGTATTGAGGTCTTGTTTAGCAATTCCTTCATAAGAGGCGAAGCTAGGGAGTTTATAAAGAATGCTGTTTGGAATGCTTCTGAAAGCATATATTTAGTCGAAAAGGACCAAAAGGACCAAAACTCTACCTCAATTTACACCTGTTCAGGATGTATGTTTGTTTACACATCAAGTAAACAAACATGAAACGAGTGTAGAAGACCATCCACAGGAGAATAAAAAGATTAATCTGATATCTTTTAAATGGTAAAAATAAAACAAAAAGAGAAGCCTACAGCACCCCGGATTCCCATGTTGTCTCCAACCATAGTACTAACGAGGCCCTCAGACGCTTAACTGCAGTGATCGGACGGGAACTGGTGTTTTCGCCTAGGTATGGCCGTAGACATTCGACATTTTCAAATAAAACATTATATAGAGAGTAAATATATATTTTGACTCTTGAAAAATCAACTTAGTTATACAATTTTTTCCACACTTCTTAAATCCTTAAAAATACCCTTTTATTATAATTATTTTTCTTCCTCGTTCGTTTAGCGATAAGCAACAACGTACTTTAAATTAAACCATGCAATTCACTATATGCGACAGGTTAAGTAAAGTTGGGATGCCAACTTTGACTTTTTCAACGCATAAACAAAGGATGAACTCTCTTCAAAAAGGATCTTATCCTATTCTTCCTGGGTCTAGTTTTTTAAATAATTCAAATGGATTAGTTTCCGTTAAATGTAGGTTTGCAGGTCACTAGAGAAAAGACACATATTTGTTGTTGTCGATGACCAGGAGGTTAAGTTGGCGCTCTATTTTTATTTTAAACAAGTTTTCGATTTCTAATTGTTTGTTCTTAGATAATTTTAAGCCGGAAAGCGTGGATCGTAGCCGAAAAGGCGACATGAAAAAAATTCAGGATACTTATCAACTGAATGTACCATCTACCCTTGTAGGTTGCAAACCCAATACATACATATATTGCAAAGTGTTGGAGATTTTCTAACTGATTTTTGGTTTGTAGGAGGATGGACGCCCTCATGTGTTTGAAGGATCGGGTCAACATGCACGAAATGTCGATTGCGTTTTAGTATATAATCCTAAAAACAAGGTTTGTCGGTGGTATTTCATTTATGTTCTCACTAATCCCCTCTTGTGCGTAGACCTTTACAATTGAGCAGATGGATGAGATTATAAGAGTTCATGCCCTTCGCAATGGGGGACGAGCGGTTGCGAATTCAGCACCCCAACAGCCTCCAGAACCCATGACTCAAGGAATGGCTTTTCCTTCAGTGTCGTCGTCCGTTCCATCTTCTATAAAGGAAACCCCTAATACCGCTGGGTTGACGACAAATAAAGGACCTAATCAAAGTTCACATCCCCAAACTTCGAGCCGACGGTCTATACCTGCATTTGCATTGTCAGCAAAAAATGCAGAAACTCGCCCCAACTCAACTTCAACTCGAGATTTTGAAATTATTGAAATCGAGTCAGGTGCAGAAGGCGAAGCTGATGATGTGTTGGAGCTCGATGACTTTGCAAAAGAACTTGAGCTCGGTCTTGATCAGGAGTTAGGGAGTAATCCTGAGGAAAAAAATTCATCTGCGACTGGAAAACCAATCTCATTACGCGACTTGTCAATGCAAGAAGGCGGACAACCCTCTGCATCCCCTCACGACGCATTAAGTAGTGCCTCAGAAGAAGATTGAGCTTGAGGATGACATGAGCAAGGGTGATTTGGAATATCATCCGCAGCGAAAGATGGTTGTACGAAGGATTCTTTTGAAAAAAGAAATAAAAAATTAACAAAACAAGGTTTGTTTGTTTTACCTTTACGAAGGAGACGCATTCCTTTGGTAAAAAGTATGTTTGGAACTTGTAAGTGAAATTCAAATTCCATTATTGGTTTTATACAGTCAAACCTTCTTTTTTTTGTCATGAATATTATTTTATTTTAATGCTGATGCTATTCTTATGGTTTCTATCTAGAATAATAAATGAAATGCAAGCTTTATCTCGTTTCCTATGAAAGGTTAGTAAATCAGATGAAAATATATATAGAAACTTCTACAATCGTTGTCTTGCTAAGCTCAGTAAAAACAAATTGACAGCATCCTGGTTGTCTAGACCATCAGGCTCATTAAATCAGATAATTTGGCATCCTAGCGAAGCAAGCAAACTTTTTTCCTACTGTATATTCATACCTTTCTCAAGAATAGACTCTAAATTCTTAGCAGAAACTACCAAAGTTGGTTGACAGATACCACTGCAGCTTGTTTGCAAAGGACAAGTTTGTCGAACACAAGAAGCAGTCTTATAAGAAATAATGGTCGTGTTACCTTTGTTACCTATGACAAGGAACAAAAACAATAGAGATAATTTTTTCAAAATAACGAATACAAGGGAAAAGACAAGCCCAAATGAAGTTTCCTATTCAAGCTAACCACTTGAAAGCGAGGAATGTGTTCTAATAGTTGCAATTTTCTATTTCCTGGGTATGTATGTATAATGATAGTGAATTCATAAATGCTGAAAACTTTCGCAATTCCGTTGCTTGTTTTTAAAGCCAGATTCACCAAAACGAATAAGAAAAGCAAAACATCTTTACTTACGACTCTTAGGCATAAGAATCTTTCGTGCGTCTCATTACGAACGACCAGTATGGACAGTATCTGTCATTAAAGTCAGAAAATTTTTTTATTAATAGAGTATATGAATTTATAGTACTGTATCGTTGATTTCATAAAGTATGGGTCCAAATCGAAAAAAATCTTGCGAATTCCAACATCGGTTGCAACCCCTGATGAACTGAAAGATTATTGAACGTTAAATCGGTTGTAAAAATCTTATGAGTTTTTTCCCAATCAACTTCGTTTTTTTTCACTCCGATTTTTTAACCCCAAAGGAGTTCGGTAATACAGTTTTCGGATAACTTGGTACCGCCCTCCTTAGATAATTGATATCTATAAAGAACGAACGGTTACGTACGTAATTGAGTCCGAAGGTAGTGAAAGTCGGTATGACATTGTTCTAAAAAAACCCGTCGGGTAACTACGGTGAAACAAGTTGAATGAAAGAGTTTAAACAAAATCTTCAGCGCTTTCTGGAAAGAAGGATGGAGCGTTCGTGGTGTCAGGGATGTTAAATCCGACTTTGAACAGTGGACGAAAAGAATGCTGTAAACAAAGTTGGAAGGAGAATCAATTAGCAACACCTTAACCAGAAACAAGGCATCTTTCTGGAAAATATTTTCAAAGCTTAATTTAAAAGTTTTAAATTGCTGTTCCCTTTCATTTCTGTCTGTTTTTTTCTTTCCTCCTTCTTATGATGCTATGCCGCCTCCGATGTATCGCATCGCTGAAACGGGCACTATCTGAAAGAAAAGGTTCCTTTACTAAGGAACGAGATACGCAGATTTTGAATGCACATTTGGATAGTGGTGAGAAAAGTTATATAAAGAGAACAGACACTCAAAAAAATTCATAAAGTGACCACATTACTACTTACACATTAAAGAAGTCTTCTTTTTCGAAACGCCTTTGTAAACAACATTCTTTTTTTTTTCAACACTTAAACTATATTTTTTGTAATTATCATGACGATAAATACCTATGTCAAGGAAGCCTCCTATGGTAAGACCATGGTCAGATTTATGAAGAAAGATGTTTGTCCGGAATCAAAAGTTCATAACGTTTACGAAATGGATGTTCAGAGTATGCTGAGTGGCGAGCTCGACGAGTCGTACACCAAAGCCGATAATTCTATTGTTATTCCTACCGACACTCAAAAGAATACCATTTATGTGTTTGCAAAAAACAATGATGTTAGCGTACTTGAAGTGTTTGCCGCTAAGCTTGCAAAACACTTTGTTGATCGTTACAAGCATATCCATGGAGCTACAGTTGATGTCACCATCACTCCGTGGTCCCGATTGACCGTTCGTGGTAAACCTCATAATCATTCCTTCATTCGTAACCCTAGTGAAGCCCGCAAGACCCATGTTGCTTTCACTGAAGGTAAGGGATTCGATGTTGTCAGCTCCTTGAAGGACGTCTCAGTCCTAAAGAGTACTGGTAGTGGCTTCAACAAGTTCCACAAGTGTGAATTCACTACCTTGCCAGAAGTCGATGACCGTATTTTTTCTACTAACATCGATTGTAACTACTCCTTTAACCATTTCGCTACTTTGGACGAGCTTGCTTCTTATGATTTTAATCACGCCTACGAAACGGTGAAAGAAATCACTCTTGACACCTTTGCAATGGATGATAGTGCAAGCGTTCAAGCTACTATGTATAAGATGGCTAACCAAATTATCAATAAACTCCTTGTTATCGCCGAGGTGTACTATGCTCTTCCCAATAAGCACTACTTTGAAATTGATCTCTCTCCTTTCGATATTGACAACCGAGGCCCTAATTGCTCTTTGTATCAACCTCAAGCCTATCCTTCTGGCTATATCACTTGCACCGTTGCTAGAGATTAATGTTCTTTCTGCAAAGACTTTCATTATTATCATCACCTAATTTCATGATCCCTTCTAGTCACCAGCTTTCTATTGCATCTATTCACTCCTTTTTGTTTACTGTAAATGGCTTACAGGGTGTTGGTATCTTGTTCCAATTGATGTAAATAGAGGTGAATGAACAATAACTATTTCGCAAAGAGGAACAAACGACCTACTTGACATCACCTTTTTCAATTTCATGTTAGCGAAATTATAATTCATTCGCATAATCAAGAAATTCTCTCTAAAGTACTGTCTTACTGATTTGAACAATTAATGTTTCAGCAAATTTTATCACTTTTAGGAAATTGATGCTTCCTCCTAGATAGGACGGCTTCAAGTTCATTTACAAGCTGGTTGGAAAGCGTTCGCTATAAGAGGCCAAAGCTAATGAATTTCAATATGTCAAGAAAGCAAAGTTCATCAACGATGTAATTTGGTATATAACGACTTATAAGCAGATACTTTTAAGACTTTTAACGCAAATCGAAAACGTATAATGAATTGAAGCATGTTCTTTCTTCATTCACTTTTATTATTTTTACTATTCTTACTTTTACTATTTATTTATTCTCTCTACTTATGAGCCCCAGGTAGTCATCTATCATGTTCAGAGAAAGATATACCATGAAATTAATAGATGGGTTTATTTTGGACATATAAGTATGTGAACTCAGCTCCATTATTGAAAATGAATATCTCGTTCTGATAGTAAAAACTCTTCAAAGTCTGTTACTTTAAACTCATATCGAGAAAATACGTGATGAAATCTTTAACTGTAAATAAACCATTGACAAAATTAGCGGCGATATTGGACATCCCTAGGTATAAATTCCAAAATTTCGACTATGTCTTCCAAAAGTTCTTATGTGAACTTATCGCATATTCCAAGGCTTTGACATTCTCAACAATTTACATTGACTTGCTAACAACGAGGATAGGAATAGACACGTGAGGACTTTTTAAAGTCCAAGCAATAGCGAGCTGAGCAGGAGTCGCACTGCTTCTCTCTGCAATCTTACTAACTTGGCGAATCTGCTCGATTTGCTTCTTCCCTTCAGGAGATTCAAGATTAGCAGCATCTCTGAATAAGTTGTGTCAAGACGAGGGTGTTTAGGAATTCCATTGTTGTACTTTGCAGTAAAAATACCAAACTTCAATAGACTCCAAATAGTAGCACCATAGCCATAGATCTGTTGAAGAGGAAGTAGATTTTCTCAAGGTTATCCCGAGTTACATTATTGTATGAAGGCTGATCAGCAATAGGGGCAATCAAGTTGTACTTGGTAGCAATGTGGTGAGCATGTTTGATTTCAAAAAAAATAAACCCACTCAGACGTACCCGAGTAGAAAGCTTACCCTCATGGCTGGTTTGAGTAAATAGTTGTCCTTAACGCCAAATTTGCAACTATGATCTATCTGATACTATTTCAGCTTGATTGATTATATTCCTTTAGGGAACAAACAGACTACTTTATGAATTGAAGGTAACCGTATGTCTTCAAACGTTCGAAACCGCTTTGTTGTTGTCGTTTTTGATGGATCTTATTAGAAGAATTTTCTGAAACAGTTACCTCTATTAGTGTTAGTTATTTATAGTAAGTAAGCATAATTAATGTACAATGATTCCATTTATGAATGACTTTCCTACTTTTAGCACTTACGTAGCGAATCATTGATAGACACTTCTGCATGAGAAGAGCTATAAACAAGTGAAACAAAAAAATCTCTATTCTCTATCGTCTATTTTTTTATTCTAAACAGCCAATTTGGACAACGCATGAGATACATCGTCTTTACCATACAACTCAAACTCTAATTCAACTTCCTCATTCTTGGATCCAACAGCCTTTAAGTGTCCTTCATGCACGGGAATACCAACAAACTTCTCAAGTTCAGCATGCGACTTCTTCTCCCATGTGGGTGTATCCTTGGGTTCAAAAGGGAAGAATGAATCGCATTGGTATTCATGGTAAATGCGAGTAAAAATTATGTTCTTTGTCAAACGATGATAAAGAGCGCTACCGTACAAGAAAGAGCCTCCGATGACAAAGACCTTGCCAATTTGGATGTCGGTGTTATCATACTTTTCAGCCAAAGTATCCAAAGCTGCATCAATGGAATCGGCAGCATACAAGTGTTCAGGAACCTTATCCTTCTTAGTCAAACCGAAGTTGTAGTTCTCAGTACGAGTAATTACTACATTAATGCGCTCCTTCAAGGGACGGTTCTTCTTAGGAATGCTATCGTAACATGAACGACCCATTAACACAACGTTCATGATCTTGGATTTTCCTTCGGCAAGCTCAATGCCATTGGTGGATGTCGTCACATTTGCGAAATAACCCATTTCTTCCTTAATGTGCCAAGGCATGTTATTCTTCTTGCCAATTCCCATTGAAGGAGAAGAAACGGCCACAATTAAAGTCAGATCACGAGGATGCTTAGTAGGCTCACCAGAAATAGGAACCGAGTACATGAAGTCACGGATTCCAGTCTTGTAAACAGCTTGCTGAGGAACAATGTGCATACCAGGATGCAACAAAATGTTAGGATTCTCACAACGCTCCATCAATTGCTTGGAACGCTCAAGTGGAACAAGGGTATCGGCAGTACCACTGATGTGTAAGTTGGGAATAGTAAGTTTAGGCTCATAAAAGTGATTAAACTCGGGCTTTTCGGAGCGGAAACCTCCAATAAATACGACAAACTTTAAGGGAGGATGTTGTACGTAAGGATTAGGAGGTTGACCAGGCTGCAAGAGATGTGCCAACATAGCACCAATACCAGCGCCTTGAGAGAAACCAATCAAACCATCAAAAGGACCCTTTTCTTTCATGTACTCGTTGATAACCTGTAAACTCTTATCCCAGGAATCATAAGTATTTTTGAAGTTTTCTACTTCAAACCAACCATATTTACCACCTTGGTCAGCACCCATGGAAGCAAGACGCTTTTGTTCAGCTTCGTCATTGGGGTCAACTTCTTCCTTGTATTCTACAGGACCTGTAGGGAAATGTAATTCAGCAAATTTAGATAGGTATTTTTGCACAGTTCCCATTTTTTTTGAGAACGTAGGGCCAGATTGCACCCAACCTAATGTAAATAATTAGCATTTGGTACTCATTTTACCTATATCGTGCATTAAAAGATGAAAAGAATCTTTCTACAACACAATATTCAACCCGCAAACATACCATGCAAACACAATACTTTCATGGATCTGGGCATACTAATTGTATCACAAATCGATTAAAAAAAAAAATACACAAAAATCAATCAAAGTCCAAAAATCTAAGAAACAGAATAAATAATACAAAACCAAATGCAAAATATTCAATGAAAGAATGAAATCTTACAATGCCTGGTTTCAGAGTATATGGTTCTTGGCAAGTTGAATTCTCCCATAAGCGAAGTTAAAATTTCTATGAGTAACGCTCGGAATGTAAATTTTCTTGTACCTTATGGTAAAAGCATATATGCTTAAAACAACTAAAAGAGTATGATACAAGCTTTTGTTTACACAATATACTATTTGCAATTCTTTCATTTTGTGCTGCATAAACTAATATTCCAGAATAACAGCTTTATCAAAATGTAATTCTCTCGTAACTTTTAGAAATTTTTATTTCAGCAAAAGATTTGACACCTTAAACGAAAAAGGCTTTGATGAGAAAGGGAAAGGATTCTCAATTACAGCAGAATCTCTAGGTCACTCTAGCTAAGGTTTTGATAAGTTATAAAGACTTTCTTCAAACAAAACTCGAACCAAGACACTGAGAGGTGGTTCATTTCTCTTGGAAAATGCTACTAAGTGACGAATCAGGACAATTATTTCCTTAGATGATCTATTTTTGTCAAGCCAAAAGCATGCTTGTAATAATAACTAAATTAATCGTAAAAACTGACAAGAGATTCCTAAGTTCCTCCACATAGTAAAAAGTAAATACTGACACCATAAGCTCTGCAAATCGTTGTATTTCAGGGCGTTTTGAATCCCTGTAATCAATATATTTATTTGATTATATTCATATTATCAAAATAATACTTGTTTCTCCATGGATTTTACTTCTACTATTGTTTATGGATTCATTTTCAAAGTTTGAAATTCATGTTTTGATGATAATGAAATGTAACGATGTATGAATATGGCAAAGAACGTGGAGTGTTCGGTATCGGTAAGCTTGTTTAATGATACACACAATCTCTGTATCTGCAATTTTGCACCAAACACTTGACGAAGTGAATAGTTGGGTTGACTTTTTCCAAACACCTAAAAACAAAAAACGAGATGGAAAAACAAGTACAAGACCTTACGTTAGAAGAAAAAAAGCAAGTCGCTAAGGATGTAATCCTTGGGTAAGCTGGTGGCATGAAAACAAAGCTGAGCCTGTGCTAATGTATTATTTCAATAGAGAAGACGGCCAGCCATTGTCCAAGAAGGCTTTGAAGAAGCTAGAGAAGGAGCGTGAAAAGGAGCAAAAGAGAATAGAAAGAGAAGCTCGTGAAACTGAAGAAAAGGCTAAGCGTGAAGCTTCTGAAGTCGATTATTCTGAAGGACGCTATGGTGTTTTACCATTAAACCGTTCTACCTCTCGTGAAAACCGTACATACACGGATATCAAAGATATTTCTGCTGCAAAGGATGGTCAAAAAGTCTTGGTTCGTGCTAGAGTATACACTTCTCGTCTTCAAGGCAACAAGATGTGTTTCTTTTCTTTGCGTCAACAGTACAACACTATTCAAGCTTTGGTTGTCGTCGATAAAGACACCATTAGCAAACCCATGGTCAAGTGGTGTGGCAGCATCGGATTAGAGTCCATCGTTATGGTTGAAGGTACTGTCCAAAAGAGCCCCGAAGTTATCAAGAGTGCCACTGTTCAAGATGCAGAAATTCATGTTTCCAATGTTTATGTCGTTTCTCCTGTCAAAAAGCACCTTCCTTTCCTTGTCGAAGATGCCGATCGCTCAGAAGAACAAATTCGGGAATCTGAAGAAAATGCAAAAGAAGGTGATTCCAAGTTCGTTCGAGTTTTGCTCGACACTCGTCTCGATAACCGTGTCTTGGATCTTCGTACTCCTACTAACCAAGCTATCTTTGACATTCAATCCGGTATCTGCGACGCTTTTCGTGAGCATTTATTGGCTAATTCCTTCAATGAAATTCACACACCTAAAATGACTGGTGCCTCTAGTGAAGGTGGTGCAAATGTGTTCAAAATCTCTTACTTCAAAGGTGCAGGATACCTTTCTCAATCTCCTCAACTTTACAAGCAAATGCTCATTGCCGCTGACCGTGAGCGTGTTTTCGAGGTTGGACCTGTATTCCGTGCTGAAGAATCCAACACTTACCGTCACATGACTGAATTTACTGGTCTTGATCTTGAGATGGCTTTTTATGAGCATTATCACGAAGTTGTTGAATTTTTGGAAAATCTTTTCTTGCATATTTTCAAGACACTTAAAGAGAAGTACAGCTCTCAAATTGCTCTTATTCGCAACATGTATTCTTCAGAAGACTTTGTCCTTCCTGTTGGTTCCGAACGTGTCCGCTTTCATTTCAAGGAAGCTGTTCAACTCCTTCGTGAAGCTGGCTATCGTAAGCAGCTCACCCCCGGCCAAGAGCCTCCTAAGGATGAAGAATTCCGTTACTGTGAGGATCCTGAATTTGAAGATTTTAGCACCCCCGAGGAACGTGTTCTAGGAGCTATTGTCCGTGAAAAGTATAACACTGATTTCTATGTCATTGACAAATACCCAAGCAGTGCTCGTCCCTTTTATACCATGCCTGATCCTGAAGACCCTCGTTATTCTAATAGTTATGACTTTTTCATGAAGGGTCAAGAAATCATGTCTGGTGCTCAGCGTATCCATGATCCTGAATTGTTGACTGAAAGAATGAAATCGCTTGGTATTGCTCCGGATGCTGGTCTTCAAGCTTATATTGATTCTTTCGCTTTGGGATGCCCTCCTCATGCAGGTGGTGGTATCGGTTTGGAACGAGTTTTGATGTTCTTCCTTAATCTCCCTAACATTCGTTTGGCAAGTGCTTTCCCTCGTGATCCCAAGCGTCTCCTTCCTTAAAAGTTCATTTCGTTTTTCATTAAGTTAGTATAGTCATTTGACAAATGGAATTGGATTAAAGCTAAATGTACGCTCCAGTAATTGCTTATGACAATCATATATATAATTTCTAGTACTAAAACTTTTTTATAACTTGCAAAAAGATTGTCATAATAAAGGCATTCAATTTGTTAGATCGTAAAGTAAATTAACCTCATAAAGAACAAGCTATTAAACTAATGCTAATTCGTCCGATTGACTGCGAAGAAGGACCTTGATAAAATTAGTCTGCTCTTTAATTTTTTTTATCTCTTCTGACTGTCCCAATTCTGAATCAGAAGTAGCATGATTAAATAAATGGCTGAATTTTTCCTCTAAAGAGCGTATAGCATCTGTAACGCCATTAAGAGTCGACGAAATATTAGTCATATGGACCGCACGATTAGTTTCGTTAGACCTAACAGATTCGCCCTCGTCATCATTGCCTTCCATTGATTGAGAGGTTTCAACATATTTTTGATAATTGCTTTCGAATTCGGCAAAACAACGTTTTACTAGAGCAAATGAATCGACAAAACTACAGGTTTGTTTGAATAGCTCATGTAATTGAGAAGTATCACCACGTAAAATTGCAAGTGCCTCGGGGTTAGCATCTTTCGATTCCTCCAATGCTGCAATCGTGGCTTGTAGTTTCAGCTTTACCACATCTAGCTCAGATGCTGTATTAGCCAATTGCATGCGCAAATTTACCAGCTGCTTAGCACCATTGTTTCTTTGTTCCAGAGCGTTCATTAGCTGAACCTGCATATTACCATTCTCCTCTTTCAGGCTTATAGTATGGCAATCTAATGCATTGATTTTTTCGGAAGCTTCACGTAGTTCTAATCTCAAGCCATCTTCAATATATTTACTGGCATTGATCAGCTTTTCCCGTTTTTCTAGTTTAGCGTTGTTGATCCTTAATTGTTGTCGTAGACCCTCCAACTGCGAGTTACGGTTGTAAGAATCATTTTCCAAAAGATTGTCTAAAGCCGCGGTCAAACCGTTGTTTGTCATAGTGGAATTCCGCTCATACGCAGCCCTATCAACATCCAACTTAGAGTATATGTTAGAATTCGAATCAATGATAGCTTGTTTCTTGGTAAGCTCCGATTTTAGAAGTGCTACTTCCGCAACTAATTGAGAATTCTCTGTCTGCACATTGCTTAATGACTCATGCAAAGAAATATTTAACATATCGGTAGCTTCAAGTCTTTGTACCAAATCTTTGACAGTGTTCTCAAACCCGGTGGATCGTTCTTTAAAATATTCTTTTTCAGATGCAAAATTATTAACAAGCATTGTCTGGTCTACCAACTGATCTTCCAGACTTCTAACCAAAGACTCACGATCACGATAAACCGACTGAAGTTCTAACAGTTGTAAAGAAGCAGCATGGTGCTTCTTTTTTTCTTCCGAAATCTCTTTCTCCAAATCACTCATTTTCTTGATAAGGGTTTTCTTAGATGAACCAAGTTCATCCATTTGCTGACTTAGTTCTGTAGAAGTTTCCCGCATTACTTCCAGCGTCTTATGCAAGCTTACATTCTCTTGCATCAAATGAACGTTACTCATACTGTTCTTCTCAGTGTATAAAGATTTGCTAGCTTCGTCCTGCTTGTTAACATTAGGATTAACTCTAGACAAAGCAGCTTCAAAGAGGGCTGCATTCTTCTCAGCATTTGAAACTTTCAGTTTCTCGTTTAAGGTCTCAATCTTTACAGTAGATTCGTTTAAAATCTCATAGAGTTTCTGTTTGAACCAAGTAACGATTTGTTCTTTTGTTAAAGCAGAATATTGTTCCACAAGAATTCCAAGATCGTTGTTGTCTTGCGATCGCTTTATTCCTTGTTCAACACTAAAATTCGACATCACATCATCTGTACTCACCTCCTTTGGACTGATTCGTTCCGATATCTGACGGTCGGATGTTTCTGAATTCAAGGAAATTGACCTAATCGATTTTTCTGGTAAATCGTTACCCATTTCGCCATAATGACTGCCTTTATGATTAATAGTCGCATCTAAGGAATGTAGAGAAGGAGTTATTGACGATGGTGATTCTACAGGCATCTCACCTTCTAATTTCGACTTATTAGTTGAATGTTGATTAGAAACTGACACATCATCTTCACTTGCTTTACTCTCAAAAGATTTAGGATCCACAGCAGACGATGAATTCAATTTCGCCGGACCAGAAAAAGCATCTGGAGGACTCTGATCATTTTTTAATGAAGGCGAACGCCTGATAGGAGCCTTGAGATTCACAGAAGTATTATTATTGGTAGAGTGGACTGCATGTGGAGCAGTACGAGTAACTTTTGTATTTGTTAAAGACGGTATTCGAGAGGGTGGACTATTGTTGCCAGTTAATCCATTAAAGAATGATGCATTTCTCTGGCGACTCGAGTTAGGAAGCAGTTTATTTAAACGAAACCGAGTAACGTCTAGCATATATACGTTGGAATCTGTAATATCTTTCATTTGTTTGCCGCCGATTAGAACTAAAGTTAGGCCGGTGGACGTTAAGGAGTGAGAGGAGCGAGGAGATGGTGCAAATGGTAAATCGAGTAACTTATACCATTGTTTAGTTAAAATTTTAAAAGCATATAGATCATTCAAAAAGGAACCATCAGATGCTCTTCCTCCAAATACATACACGACATCATCTATAATTGAAGCTGCATGTCCTGCTCGCGGGGGAGGAGAATGACCGAATGTTTCTACTTTTGACCAAGCACTCTGTTTTGGATGAAAACACCAAACATCATTGAAACATGTTTGACCATCAGTACCACCGAATATGTATAACTTATCAGAGTAAGTTAAAGCGACATGACCAGCACGAGCAGGAGGGGGATCATTAACAACGGAGGCTAGTTCCCATCTGGATTCTTGGGTATTTAGTCTGTTTAGATCAAAACAAACGAGATCGTTAAAGTAGTAATCGAGTAAACGGCCACCGAAAAGCCAAACCTTGGACCCCAAAGTGCTAAGCGTGTGACCATAGCGGCCAGATGGGCGGGCTCCAGACGCTGAGGCTTTCTGCCAAAGTAAGGACGAGGTGTTCAATAAATAGAGGGAATTGTCTTGATGGTCTATATCCTCTTTATTCGTGAGACCACCAAATACGATAAAAGCATTTCCAACAAGAACTGAAGCATGACCAAGCCTTGCAGACGGTACTTGGCCAGTGGAACGCAAGTTCGAGAACTGACTTGTAGCAAGGTTCAGAACCCAAAGATCATTTTTTGCTTCAGAGTTGGAGGAAATACCTCCAAATATATACATCTCCTGTCCTCCTTCAGCAAAAAGATGAGAAGAATGGGAATACCGAGGCAATACGTGTGAAGAACCGCGTATTGTCAGTTTTGACCAAGGAGATACCGTGAAACTAGAGCCGTTCGAAGGAAGAGCTTTCTTCATTTCTGAAGAAGATTGGCTACTAGTTTCTAAATCAGCTTCTTGAGTAGAACGAGGAGGAGAATCCTTCAAGGATCCAGCGCTCTTATAAGCAGTAGGTCTATTCAGCGGATTTGAGCCAGCTCTATTTTTCTTGAATAAAAAAGCCATATTTGTTGGTAAAATTGACTCATAAAGTAGTTTTATTTATAAGAGCCCGATTCCGCTCCGAGTTGACCCCAAGTATTGTACAGAAAACACAAAGCTTAAGAAGCCTCGTTAAAAAGAAGGAAACCAAAAAAAAATTAAATAAACAAAAAAATGTAATATAGATATTAAAGCTTTTGCTGAAAAGCAGACAAAAACCCGAAAGAAACCAGTAATCAAAACTCCACACGTTTGTCTTTGGCTTGTTGAACTGGTTGTATAAGAAGTAACACCCCAGGTGACAAAATGTTTACTTAGAAAAAGGTCTGTCTAGAACAAGACAGCTAGAGTGTTTACATTGTTTGAATATGCATAAAAGCGAAGTAAAAAAAACAAAAATGACAAGACATTGGGGGTTTGAGTAAAATTTAGAAACCACAGAGAGATTCAGTTAGAAAAGACATGGTTTTTCCCTTTTTTTCCAAAAATTCCTTTACGCGTATTCGTAAAAATCAATTCATGTAAACGGTTTCATAAACAAGCGAATGTCAATAACAAATCTTATAACAGTTCAGTCATCCAACTTAATCACCTAGCATGTTCCGTTGATACTACAATGGAAACAATTGAATCAGTGGGCAACGCGCATGATGAAGGGTATCCCGAACGTTGCCTGAGATATTAGTATTCTTGCCCAATTTACAGTTTAATATTGTTTCACATATTCCAAAATTAAAGAGACACAATTCTATTTTCTCATTACTTTCATACTTCTTAAAATTCTTTTAAGGCTGCATATATGTAGGAAGTGAGTAGAGTAAACAATAGCCGAAATCAAGAAAGCTACAGATGTTACTTTCGTTACCTTACAGTTACCTTGTTACAAAGTACCATAAAAACCATACCCTACCCTGACATTCGTGACTGTTTTTTTCGGTCGAAACATACGCTTGAGCAAGAACAGCTCCATACCTCAACGAACCACCAAAAATGACTAAGGGTACATCTTCGATGGGTAAAAGAGGCAATAAGTCTCATACCCTCTGCCGTCGTTGCGGAAAGCGTTCTTTCCATAAGCAAAAGAGCACTTGCGCTTCCTGTGGTTATCCTTCCGCTAAGACCCGCAGCTTCAACTGGGGTGCTAAGGCCAAGAGAAGAAAGACTACCGGTACTGGTCGTATGCAACATATGAAGAAGGTTCACCGTAGCTTTACCAACGGTTTCCGTAAGTAACATTTGAGCGTAGAAATTGAATGGACAAACATATTAACTCTCAATTAGGAACTGGTACCCAGCGTGCTGCTGTTGTCAGTTCTGCATAGGTGAATCTAATAAAAAATACCTTATGTCTATGCTATGTGTTAAGTAGGAAATTGGTGGTGACAATGTGTGAATACTGAGAAAGATATGTAACAAAAGAGCCAGCTAAAATGTGGGACTCTTATGAAAGAGTTTTTGGCTATTGGGTATTTCATTGTAAGATTAATGTTTCATGTGTGTTCGAAATGTATGTAGGTAACGTGGTGAAGGAATTGCATTACAAGAAACACCAGATTTTATGAATTGTATTTCCAATAAAGTCCATGAGTTGCGCAGCACAAAGTAGGATGAGAAGTGTCTGAAGAAAGTCAAGGTAATCTAATTGTTTCTTAAAAATCTTTAGAAGTTGAGCTTCATAATAATCCATAAATTCGATTCACTTTAATATAATCATAAAACCCGACTGCTAACTGGTGCTGGTGCTTTTACAACGCCGTACCACCAAATCACATGTCGTATTTGAATGGGTAAGAAGAGTAATCCCAAGGTTTTATTATTAACACTTAATCAGTTTAGAGCAATGTGTTGATTCCTTACAAACAAGTATAGATACCGTATGTGATCTGCGTAGTTGCTCCATGAATTCATTATTAACCTGAACCTAGCTTTCATCAAGCATCGTCGCCCTAGACTCAGGAATCCATGATTTTCCAAGGATCAAACAAGTTCTAAAAGTCCAACGACATTTTCATTTGATATCTGAGCAGCAACTTCAAGAGCGTCGTCAAAAATTTGATGAATCCGTTAAGCCTTACTTGTTACAGGCTTTTCAAAAATTAGAAGATTCTATAACTGCATTACAACGCCAGGAAGATAGTCTAAGAACAAAATACGAGCTGCAAGAAGCTCGTCTTGATATGCTAAAAAACCGACCTCCCATAAGTGCGCTCCCTTTAAATTCAGACACCACTGATCAATTAAAAACAACAATAGCTAAACGCCAGAAATTATTATACACTTTAGAAAGATACGATTTGCAACTGCGTCAAAAACGAGGATATTAAGTTATCGCCTTTCATGGATTGGAATTTAAATATTCAAAAAGAAGTATCATGGGCTAAGGAGCAAGGTGCTCGCGTTCATCCCCTCTTAAAATTTTCCGTCATCCCCAATGCCGGAAGTTGCATTACAAATGCAAGTCGGATTGAAGCAGGTGAAACTTTGCTTTCTTTACCTAATAATGTTTTAATTAACAAAACCACCTGTTCTTGGTGTCCATTTGCAAAACATCTAACTTCCTTTCAGCTTCTATCCTGGATTTTATGTAAAGGAAAGAGTACTGGCATGGAAAAATGGCCATATTACATCGAAGCACTACCACAAGATTTTTCATGGCATCCAGTAATGTTCTCTATAAATGATCCTGTATGGTCTGATGTGCCGAAAGATGTACAGAAATTGGTTCTTGAAAGGAAACAATCCTTATTGCAAGATTATCAGAGCATATCAAAGTTTGAAAAGCTAGACTGGGCAGTATTTCAGTGGGCTTGGCTTTGCGTAAATACTAGATGTTTATATTATCAAATTGCATCGAGTTCTTCTGATGAACAATTAACTTTAGCACCTGTATTTGAATATTTCAATCATTCTTTTGATGCACAAACGGACCTACAGAGAAGCCGTACTGGTATATCTATTATAGCCAAGCGTGCCATAGAGAAAGATGAGCAACTATACTTGTGTTATGGAGCTCACGGAAACGATCAGTTATTTTCTGAGTACGGATTTTGCTTGGGTGAGAATCCCCTCAATCATTTTGCTCTGGATGACGAGTTTACTTTCACGGAAAAGCAGGAAGAGTTTCTTAAGTGTCATGGGTATTGGAAAGACTATACGTTTTCCATGGACGGTCCCTCGTTTCGTACATTGATTGCTTTGCGGGTCTTGTTAGTATCCAAGTCTACTGATTTGTTTGACTCTAACTATGATGCTACTAGAAAGCTGTTGCAATACATGAATGGTTTGTCAGACGGCAGCCGAGAATCCCCTATGGTCCAAGCACTGTGGGATAGACATTTAACAGTTCTCCTGCAAATAGTTAGAAAACAGGTTGCTAAAATGGACGAACTTAGAAACAAGGATTACACGCAGAGGTGTATTCTACAGCTTTGGAAAGATCGTCAGATGTGCATAGAGTATTTATTAAATCGTCCTATAGAATAGTTTAACTCGCATTTCATTATAAAACAATGTTAATAACGTTAATTTTCAAGTACCCTTTATATTTGATTGCGAAACACTTTTAATCAACATATTGAGAAAGGATATACCGGCTGTCACGTTAGTGATTCTCACGGGTTATGAGAATAAATACCGAGTGGAATGAATAACTACAGTTGTAGAATTGTATACGTTAACTGTACTCTGTTTAATGTCCAGGAATCTGGTCAACTAAATTATGGTGTTTCGATGATCATATTTAGCCATATCAGTCGAATTTTCTAATTTGATGATTCTGACTGTAGACACAAGGGTATATATAGCTTTGTTAATCAAATTGACAATAGATTTTATGAATAGATAATCAACTGTATACGTGTCTTTATTCTCCGACCATTCGTATCTTGATTTCTGTATCACGCTTTTAATTGTTTGTTTACAAAATGTAATATACCATCCTTTAGTCTTATGGTGTTTCCTAATATTTGATAATATAAGGATACTATTTCATATTGTAATATATATAGTATTAACAAAATACATATTATGACAACCAACTGAAAAAGAAGACTTTATTTTTATAATGGACGGAGAGGAGGTAAAAAAGGTTTTGCCCACACCAGGAATCGAACCTGGGTCGCATCGGCCACAACGATGAGTCTTAACCACTGGACCATGTGAGCTTGTTGTAAACTTCTGGGGTTTGGTTATTATAGACTCAAAAATCAGTATATAATTAATTTTCATTGTTTATTCGCAGGATTTAATCTTTTTTTTTTTTTTTTTTTTTTTTTTTTTTTTTTTTTTTTTTTTTTATTACATGCAATGCTTCGTCTTTAATATTTTAGTAAATAGAAAGTATTGTGTATAGGTAATGCTGGAAGAACTATGTGCTAATAATAAACAGATATCTCCCTAGCTTGATAGTTAACAAAAAGCAAACCAAACCCTTTTTAATGGCGAAAAATTATCTCTAAACTAAATATGTGTTAGCTGAAAACTTTCGATCTACTACTCTGCTTTACACTCTCAAGATGTCTGTTTATTCATAATTATTTTTTATACGCACTTAAGCTTGAGAAGATTCATGAAGCCAATTCAGTTTTGATTCAAATTAAACCAACATAATTGATTTCTAATTTATAGTTGCTGTTAATTGTCCGTTTATAGCATTTATCTGCGTATTTGATTCTATAATGCCGATGACATTGTATGAATGTAGCCTCAATATATTTTAAACATTGTTTATATTTGATATATACTTTTTTTCACTTGCAGAGATTGCATGAACTTTCCGTTTGTAACAATTTTTGTTTTTTCGCACCATTAATTTTGTAAACATTGAGAAACTATTAATAATATGGATGAAAGTTGCTTAAAACGGGCACGTTTGAATTTTTTTCAATTATTTATTCACATATGTATTTAAAATCAAATAAATAAGCTGCAAGCTCTTCAATTTTCATAATCGAACTTGTATGTCTTTTTTGAAAGAGCCAAAAGCAACACCAAACAGGAAGAAAGAATATTTTATAGATGAGATAAATAAATTGTTTCATAATAACAAAAAACATTCACTTAAAAAAGGCGTATAAATAAAACAATAATTATCTCTAGATCAACGAAGCTCACATGGTCCAGTGGTTAAGACTCATCGTTGTGGCCGATGCGACCCAGGTTCGATTCCTGGTGTGGGCAAAACCTTTTTTATTTTCCTCTTTAGCTTCAGCATTTTTATGCTAAAATCGAATCAAGGTACAACTCTTAATTTTCTTATAAATTTACCGTGGTGATTTTTTATTATCCTATTTAGTTCCGTTAAATCATGACTATTAAAAATATATACACACAGGGATGATAAATGGGATAGATATAATTCATTAAGAAATACTAAACAACCTAATGGGTTCAGAATTGTAGACTTACAAATTGGCAGGTTCGACGTACCGAAGGGTATTTCCACTAAAAACTCCTCCCTTTACCTTGATTTCGTCTTGAATTTCAGCAATAGCTTCTTGTTTGCCCATGGGATCCTTCTCATCAGGATCCAACTCCCATGCCAAATAGCTATTAGTACAATTTGGTTCAAAGTCTTGGGGGACGATTCCAAGACGCTTCGAGTAGTTGGTAACTTTGTTCCAGTCTCTTGGAACATTGGAAATGTCGCGAGAGAAATAGGCAAAGCAACGCTCGAACTGCTCACGGTGCAGCTCAAGACCCATATCAGGCTTGAAGTGCGTAAATTCCTTATAAGCCTGAACAGGGTCTTCGAGCATGGAAAGTGTAGCAGAACGAATAGCTCGCAAGAAGGAAACGATTTTATCCGGATTCTTTGCAATGAAGTCATCGTGGGCAATATAGAGGATCGAGCAGAAACAACAGCAACCCAATTCAGCGAGTCGATCAATGCGGAGCATTTGAACATCAGAGCGAGGACGTCCTTGAGAAATACACCATCTCTCGAGCTGTACTTGTTGCATACACTCAATGCCAATACCGCCATCAACTTCACCACTGATGATGGCAGGAGCAATGTTCATACCGCAACGAACAGCTGTGTAATCTGTGGGAGAAAGTCCAAATTTGCTACACAAGTCGTCTAATTGGATCTTCCCAAATTCACCAACATAACCAATACGCTTGCCTTTAATATCCTTGAAAGCGTTTATGCCGTTTCCTTTTAAGGTAATTAAACCGGTGAAGGGCTCGTTAAGTAAAGAGCCAAAACTTGTCACAGGATATCCACGAGCTTTTGCAGCCAGTGTATGAATCATGGCTTTGAGGCCCATGTCCACTTTACCAGAGCCGATTAAAGCAGTAACGTCGGACGGATCAGTGGGCTCTAAGATAGCAACTTCGATGCCCTCTTGTTTAAAATAGCCATTACTTTGGGCCAAAAAAATGGGCAAGTGGTAAGGAGTAGCTTCCCAATTGGTGAGGAAAGTGATTTTGTTATTTGACATAATGAGGAAGAGTAATTAAAAAGAAGAAGTAACTTTACTGTATACGTTCGCTTGGACCTTAATTGAAAAGCGATGAAACGAACGCCTTTTATAATTTTCTAGTGCCATTCGTTTGTGTCAATACCCGAGTCTAAGTGAATTACGGCTTGCCGAAGAATAAAATAAAGGTTATATGAACAAATTGCTAAATGTATACGTATCCCAAGACAGCAGTTTTCCTTTCGGGAATCTGAGCTAAAGCAGTATCCAACTGAAAGGGGATTGACATCAGAGTTTAATAACAATATAAGACTGGAATCTACGGAAGATAAAGTATGACATGATATTTCAGTGGAAATACTGAACATAAAGGATGAAGGGGCAATGTAAACATGCTTTACTTCACATAGCAAGGAAAAATATCCCTATAAAGACGTTTGGTTCATTTATTCACTAAGAAGTTTAATGAACTGAAAGGTTTACATATTTTACATACCAAGCAACAGACTATGATCCCAGTGGTTCAGATAAAAAGTTGAATCCATCCGTCCTTTGAAAAGCGTTACGGAGACTTTGCGCCGAAACGGATAATCAAAAACTAATAATTTACATTCGCATGGTTTTCCCAATGGAATGGTAAAAAAGATGTGTGTTTCCGAGCGGTAACAGAAAGCCGATGGATGACATTTTATGAAAAATGCGTCAGAGTCAAAAAGTATGATGAATTACCGTTAAGTATCCGTCTGGGAACATAGCTGGCTCTGTCAATTATCCCTCTAAGCGTTTCCTCAAAAGGCAAAGCATTGGCTGTTAAGAGCAACTCTGCATAAGACTCATCCGGTACATCAAACGTCTCGTCTTTTACTTCAATATCTGGTATTTGGTTTTCAGAAATCTCTACTTCTAGTCCATATAATCCATAATCTGATAATGATTGGCCCACAGTGACATCCAGATAGTTGGAATTCGATTAGCAGCTGGATGGAATCACCGAAAGTCGAATACCTCTTTTCCTTTTACAGACTATTCCCAAAATCTCTTCTTATGAGAGTCCTTCATCTATTCCTAATTCGAAGTTCTATGCAACCATCATTCACTTCGTCATCTTGGGAACAAGCAAGTAGCCTCATTTACTGATGCTTCTTCGACTGAATCTTTATCCATTAGCAGCTTTTCTTCAAAAGCACCTACAACAGCATCTAGTGATGTCCATTGTTACTAGCAACAGCGTAGACTCGAATGTGAGTTCATCTGGCAAGTGGTATTTGACCGCTTTGTCGACTTTCAACGTACCCGATGGGGTTTGCTTGGTCGAATATCAATGGCTTTTCACTTTTGATATCATCTGGAATTGCCTATAAACAACGCATTATGGATATGAAAGCAACCTCCAAACTAAACATCAAGTTTGCACTAACTATTTACTGAGATATATCATTCAATTCTGTTCATACTCCATAGTATTCTTCCCGTGACATTTGAAAACAAATGTCTTCAAACGAAAGATCATTCCAAAGAAGTGAAAGAGAGTTCAGCTTATATTAGAAATAAGGGAATCGGTTTCTGGAAATCTTATTCAATATTTTTACTATGATATATTTGGTCCAAGTCTGTGTATCAGCAGCTAGAGTATGGAGATACTGTTGCACCTGAAATTCAACCTCAAGTCCGGCATGAAAGACACAGTAAAAATAACCACCCCGTCCGTGGTATTCTCTAATGTATAATATGCTGACTGTTTGATATTTGATTCCTTTAACTTAGTCTATCTTTGTATGTGACTGGAAACTGAAAAAAAAAATAATAATAATAATAAATCAATACAAATAGCCGACTTGGAAAAGAGCACCTTCAATTCGTAAGAATTAACGTAGATATGGAGTGTCAAGTATCATTTCATTTCTTTCAGTACCGTTGAGGAAATAGTCGCATGTAAACAAACAGTGATGTCATGGTATCAAACGCGTTGTCATGTTTACCATGCACAAATTTTCGTGTTTCCAGAAGGTATGGGTAGAGAATAATATTGGATGCAGGATGAAAATCGCACTTTATTCTATTTTAAAAGCGCAGTTTACAAAGATTATTTAATTCAGTATACGAATACTCGAATGAATGGTGTAGCTTAATGATAATAAACCTTCACGCGAAAGTCTAACAGAAACACTTGAACAATACATTTTTGGAAACCAACCATACCAGTGAACGTATACCTTGCAACTGAAAGCTTCGAATATAATCAGGTGAATAGTAGACTTTATTCCTGGGGAAACATTCATGACTTTGACACGACGATTGTTTATTTACATTTGGTTGCCACAGAAACCGACGCGTAAACAAACCAAGTCAAAAATTATATAATAAGCAGTTTCTCTACGGTCTCAAACTTAGCGACTATAAAAAGACTGTTATTCTGTGTGCGTGTGTTAGAAAATAATTTAAGCTTTGGATCCCCAATTACATTTACCACGCGTATAGGATCTTTTGTTTACTTCCATTCCTAAAGTTTGAATGGACAAAGGTCATTCATAGCACAGAACTTTTTGTATCTTATTTTATATATTATTTTTTGGCCAGTTAATTTTTTTTTTTGTTCGCGTTTATTCAAACCCTTTTTGGTTGTTGCAATTATAATTTTCTAATGCAATCTGTATACTCTTTGCTCCTACTGGCCATTATAAGCCAAGTCACTTGGGCGTTGAATTTCAGTAACCATTCTACTGTCGTTGGTTACTGGGGCTCGAACTTGTCTGGTGAACTGGGCTACCGTGACCAAAAGCCACTTGCAGACTACTGCAAGTCCTCGAACTATGATGTTGTAATTTTATCCTCCGTTATTGACTTTAGTGTTAACGGCTGGCCCGTCTATGATTTTTCGAACTTATGCAGTGACAGTGACAAATTTAGAGGTACTGAACTGAAACAGTGCCCACAAATTGAAAGGGACATTCAAGTTTGCCAACAGGAAGGCGTTAAAGTGTTGCTTTCCATCGGCGGTTATAACGGAGATTTTACTATTGACGATGAAGATGACGGACAGAAATTCGCTTTCCAAATGTGGAATGTCTTTGGCGGTGGTCAAGAGTTATATCGCCCTTTCGGTAAAGCCGTTGTTGATGGTTTTAATTTAGAGGTTAACAAGGGTACCAACACTGCTTATTCTGCGTTTGCAAAGCGGTTGCTCGAGATCTATACTTCGGATCCCGATCGAAAATACTATTTATCAGCAGCCCCTACTTGCATGGTTCCTGACAAAACGCTAACGAATGCCGTTGCTCATAACTCCTTTGACTTTCTTTCTATCCACACATTCAATGCTTCTACTGGTGTTGGTTGTAACGGAAGCCGCAATAGTACTTTTGCTGCTTGGGTCGAATATGCTGAGGACAGTGCCTATGACACTGAAACTGCACTTCTATATGGCATCATTGCCCAACCAAATGCTGCGGTTGATGGCTACATGAATTCTTCCAACTTGATCTCGACTTTGCAAGCGTACAAAAGTAACAGCTCTCTTTTTGGTGGTGTAGCCGTCTGGGATACTAGCTTAGCTGAAATGTCTTACAACACATCTACTTCTTATATCGATATTGTGCGAAATGTTCTAAAGGGTGGCTCTGTTGCAAATTCCTCAAGATTGTCAGAATTCGCCCGCATTTCTCCTGCTTCTTCCTCTTCAAGCTCTACAGCCAAGCCTTCCACGTCGGTTTCCGTTAGCTATGACAAAGTACCTGAAATTTCTACAACAACCGATTATGAGACGTTTTATACGACCACAACGATTCTTTCTACCATTGGTGATAGCAGCTTTATTACAAACACTGCCGTATCAACAATGACAAAGCCCGCTTCTACCAGCAAGGATAAGTCAACGACCATTTCCAGTTCTACCAGTATCCCCTCCAGTACTTCTTCAACTAGCGGTCCCTTGTCTTCTAAAAGCAGCCCTACATATATGAACCCCACTGGTTCTGTTTCCTCAGATAACTCAAGTACCTCGGTTGCAAAAACTAGCAACACATCGCTCTCTTCTTCAGACTCTATTTCAAAGAGTAACCAATCGTCGACGAGCATAGTTAGTACAAGCTCAACCTCGACATCCTCTTCAAGTATTAATTCTTCGTCACCACCCATGCGTAACTCTACCTCCCAAGGAGTTACTTCAGCATCATATCAAAGTGCCCCTGGCAGTCCACTGGTCAATTCTACTTCTGCAACCCAGTCGACTTCAGTTTCTGCTACCAATCACTCTATCACTTCTATGATGGCTACAAATAGCTCAGTTTTGGCTCCTACGACAACATCTACGTCTTCTTCACTAAATGCGACCGTGCCATCTTTAAGTTCGTTCGCACATTCTGAAGCTCATAAGGGCGTTGTAACAGAATCTTTCGATGCCTATAATACCTTTACAAACAAGGTACCTTCACCATCATCGTCTTCCTACACTTACTTAAGCACCTTTGCTTCAGACAGCGATGCTGCTTTTACTTCTCAGTATACCATGAGTACATACAATACTGATCCAAAAATTCCATTGGATAGTCCCAGCTCTTCAACATCTATTCCCTTAGAACTCGCTTCTTCTGATATGTCTTCGAGCTCAATTACTCCTACTAGCACAATGCCGTCTTCAACTTGGGGAGCTACGCCTTTATCATCCAATCTCAACCAAGTTCCATCCAGTGTTTTTTCTGAAAGTACTACTACTCCTATTACTGATAGCACCTTTACATACGGCTCATCTGATACTGCGGGCACCCCGCCTTCGACTTCATTCTCTAGTACTTGGTCTTCAGAAACTCCCGTTTCTAGTTCATACAACCCATCCACTAATAGCTGGCCTACAGTGACTTCTTCCTCGAATTCCTATTTTCCATCATCTAGTACTTGGTCTTCAGAAACTCCCGTTTCTAGTTCATACAACCCATCCACCAGTAGCTGGCCTACAGTGACTTCTTCCTCGAATTCCTATATTCCATCATCTAGTACTTGGTC